TTCTTTCTTTTGCTGGCCCTGGAACTAGCATCACTTCTCCACCCCCACTGCAACTCAAACAGAGTTTCCGGGGAGGTTCCTGAGGTTCACCTGCTCAGATGTATTGGGATGAGCCCACCCTTCTTTCTGCTCCCCTCTGTCGGAGCACAGACTCACCTTACTGGCAAGAGGCATGTTATGCATATGTAGTCCCAGCCTGCAGACATCCTCCTCTTCTTTTCTTGGTGAGTTCACGCCTAGGGCAGGGCAACCTCGATGCTCCATCACGGGCTGGAAATTTTTTGGCTCCCGGTCAGATCCCCCTTTACTTAGCAGACCCCCTTAGTGGCTTAAAACAATCATGGTCTTATTCTGTTGCATAATACTGGGGTCAGGAATTAAGGCAAGGCTTGGCAGGGTGATTCTTCTCTTCCATGTGACATTGATGGAAGTTGCTGGGTGGTATGCAACTGGCAGAGAGACTGATCGTGAGGGTCCAAGCCAGCTTCAGTCATGTGTCTGGTGCCTCAGCAGGAATATCTAGAAGGCTGGCTTGGCTGGAACTGTGGACCACGGTGCTTCCTCGTGACCTCTCCAGGATGGTGGCCTCAGATTTCTTATGTGATGGCTCAGAGCTCTGTGAGCCAGAGTTCCAGAGAAGGAGGCAGAAGCCCCAAGGCCTTTTTGACTCAGGCTGGGAAGTCACCCAGTGTCACTTCCAACATCATTTATTGATTAAAACAGTCACCAACCTGCCCAGATTCAAGGGGAAAGGCAGTAGAACACACTTCTAGAGGGGAAGAGTTTCAAAGGATTTGTGGTCATGTTTTAGAACTGCCACCGTGTTCACCTTTGACTAGTTCCTGCTTGCTTGGGGAAAAGCACTCTCATCATTACTTGGCAAGAAGGCCTACTGAGTGTGCAGGCACTTCATCTCTGGTTTTTGAGGACAAAGAGAATCACATGTTTTGGGGGCAGCAGAGAAAACAGCTATTTAAAGTTACATGGTAGAGGGAAAAAAAAGTGTTTGAGTGCTTGGGCTGCCCAACATGCAGCATTTCATAAGAGCCAGCCTATCCCAAATGCCTCCACAGAGTACAAGACAGGAAAGTGTCAGGGAGGGCCTTTTGCAACATTTGCCTTAGACGCCCAAAGAGAAATTTTGTTGCCTCCCATCATCCTGTACTTCTTGGCCATGGTTCTCTTCAGCTTGGTAATGATGGGCTCAGTGTCTCCCTTTCCCCCATAAAACGCCAGGTTCTGTGATGAAGAACAAGCTTGTCCTACTCACCAGCATACCCTCGGCACTGTGCATGGTGTGCAAAATACAGCAGATAGGCAATAAATAGATTTCATCGGCTAATTATCTGGATGGGGATAGAGAAGATGAGAACCACTCCTACATAATACAATTTGCTGCCAGGTGTTTAGCTTTTTTTTTTTTTTAGTTAGCATGACAGGCTATAAGGCCTATTTTGGCATCTGAGATGCTGAGATGGACATTTTATTTATTTTTTATTTTTTTAGATTATTTATTTATTTATTTGTCAGAGAGACAGAAAGAGAGAGAACACAAGCAGGGGGAGCAGCAGGATCCCCGCTGAACAGGGAGCCTGATGTGGGGCTTGATCCCAGGACCCTGGGATCATGACCTGAGCCAAAGGCAGGCGCTTAACCCACTGAGCCACCCGGGCATCCCAGAGGTGGAACATTTAAAATGGGGATAGTTTCCCAGTAGGTCCAACCAGATCACTCTGGTTTCTGAAGGACAGAAGGTAACATCCACACACCTGACACTTACTAACAGCTTTGTTTATTATTTAGTTGATTTTTCCATGTTTTTATAATCGTACAATAATTCTCTTTGAAACAATACTGTTACACCTGAAGTTGGTCACATTATATCCATCCTTCCTTCTATAGTAGTAAAGTGGGGTTTTTTCACACTCAGTTTTTTAATAGAACATTTGAATATCGAGAAGTGTGCTTAACTAAAAATAACAAATGGACCAAACTCTGTGAAAAATGGTCATACACTCAGTTAAAGGTTTAATGCTATTCTGGGGGTCACATACATTCAAGAGGAGACACCATGGTCTCGTGGGGAGCCCAGAGCCGGGGGCATGTGGTGGGTACAAGTGACTCCCTAAGACCTGTTTGGCAGCTTGGAAATTTGAGGTTTAATACTGGTCCAGTGCTGTCACCTTTCTAGTCAGGCTGGGTCCCTCCAGGCAAGCTTTGGGAAATGTCATCAGGGTGTGATCGATGGATGGTGTCTTCCCAGGGCCAAATCCTGCAGTTAAATCCTCAGGGGAACTTAAAAGACTGTCACCTGCCCCATTCATATTGGCCTTACTTTTCACCTGAAAGTAGATGGGACCCAGCCCTAGAGCCTGTGGGTATAGTGTGTGTGTAACAGATGTGAGTAGTGCATGTATGTGTAATGTATGTACGTATAGTGTGTGTTAGTGTATGTAACACGTGTGTAATGTATGTGTGTATACCGTGTATAGTGTGTGTATATAATGTGTGTGTAATGTGTAATGTACATAATAGTGTGTGTGTAGTGTGTGTGCATGCAAGCACACGTGCCACAAGGAGGACACAAGGGGACAGAGGAGGAGGAAGAGGGTCAAGGAGAAGGAAGGGACGAAGGAGGAAGGGTGGGACTGGAGAAGAAGAAGATAAAATAGATGAAACCTGGAGGGGCTCAGGGGAGAGAATGAGCCTCGATTTTAATAAAACAGAAGGAGGGGACAGAGACGGGTAACCCTGACGCCACTCCCTGTCCTCCAGCGGCAGCCCGTAGGCTCCGGTCTCCCCCCACCACGCGGCAGGAGGGCAGCGCGGCCCTGGGCTCCCACCATGCTGCGCTGAGCCCGTTTTGTGGGCAGACTTGAATCCAGGGGGCAAGACGGTGGTGGCAGCACAGACCGCTCTCCCCTTGGCCTTGCCCACTGGCTGGGCTCCAGCTGCCTGTGGCACCGTCCTCTCTGGGGAAGGTCAGGATGTCCCTGTAGGTGCTTTACCCGAGGCCCTGCCCTGACCGTGGATGCCACGGCCAAGGTTTCTGCTAGCCTTCGATCTGGAAGTGGAGGCATTTCGGAGGCAGGTACATTCCAGAATGCCAGACAAATCTTTCCGCCTTTTTAGGGAAAGACGTGGGGAGGGGAGCCAGGCGGCCTGCAGTCTGCCCCCAGGCTCCACTCCTGGGCCCCAGGGGAGGGCTCCCGCCGCAGACCTGGTGCGCCCGAAGGGTGCTCCAGCTGCAGAGTGAAGGGTGCACCGCGGGCACATCTGTCCCAGGCGGGGCAGGTCCCTGTGGAGCTTACAGATGGGACAGCTGCCTGCCACAGGCAAAATGGCCCAGGGCTGAGGGTGGCAGAGGACTCCCGAGTCCGACAGCCTGAATCCCTATCATGGCCCAGGCGGAGCTCAGGGAGGCATTTGGGGCAAGTTGCATGACCGCTCTTTGCCTCCGGTTCCCCATCACCGCAATGGAGCCATGGAGCCAGGAATAGCTCTTCCTAGGTGGTGGGGCTGGGAGGGGAGGCGGGGGGCGGGGGAGGATGTCGTGAGGATTCAGCGACATGAGAAGTGCTCAAGCAGTGTCGGGGGTATAGTGAGCACTTTGTGAATGGGATCTGTCATTATTATTTAGAAAAAAACCAGTATAGTTCAATATAGATCCTGCGACTCTTTCCTGACCTTTCTATTGTGCTCCCAAATGAGGAGCCCTGGTCAAAGGCAGGGTGGCTGAAGGTGTGTGTTCAGGCCTCTGAGGTGTGTGGGGACAGTTAAGGCCATCACTGGGCCACATGGCCCTCACAGCTCTTGCAGAAAGGCTGGGCTTCCTATTAGCTGGGCCACCACTTACGCCCATGGCAGCAACACTAGGGTCGTGGGGCAGAAGAAAGGGCTGGGCCCCTACTCGCCATCAGAACAAAGGATTTGCAAAACTAGCAAAATAATTAAGCAAATTCAGCAAGTGAGAAATGGACATTAGTTATTTGTGTGTGTGATCAGTAATTGTTTTAGTTCACTGAAACCCTGACATGGAGGTCTCAGCCCCTCCTGGACGTTGTCCAGGGACAGTGACGCGGGCACTAAAGAGAATCTAGGCATGTGATACGCATTGGTGGTCTGGAGAAGTTCATCCTGGAGGTACAGGAGTTTTTAGAACAATCAGCCCTACTTCTTCTCTAGAATGTAACTGCTAACTAGTCTCCCAGGTAAACTGTTTGGAAGGTGCATTTGACAGGTAGCATTTTGTTGCCTCTTAAAGATCTCATACTATTTGGAGGAGAGGCAGAGATCCGCCAGAGGGAGATTTCATCCCAATCCTGTCTTAAAACGGGTGAGGACCTAAAAATTCCGATGACTTGCTGGGACTCATATTGGAGGCTCAGTTCACCTATGAGGTGTGACTCGAGCAGTAGGGAGGCCTGGACGGAGAGACCATGAGGCCTACACAGAGGCCACCCTCCCGATTTTCTCTTTGTCATCTTTCTCTGTGAGCAGAGCTTAGGCTCCCAGAGTGAGATGCTTCCTGAGGAATGCTTGTGGCTGGGGCCTGAGGCCAGTCTGGTGACATTCTGGCCTCATTTCTGTCCCCAGTTGTAATAGACTCAGGGATTCAGTGAGCCCGGGATGCCTTAACCTGATAGACCTTTCATCGGAAGCATGGCAGAACTCGAGCTTTGTGATGAACCTCTTGGGAAAAAAAAAAAAAATGAAACAAATGAACTATAAAACAAGCCCCAAAGCAATCCCCTAAAGAGAAATGGCACTGCATGAGGCTGCTGGTTGGCAGGTCTACTGATCATGCAGATGGAGAACATCATACCAAAGAAGTTCCACAGGGAGCAAGGATCAGTTTCTCCCTGGTTTAGATATTGCCTCTCCCTGGTTTAGAGGTTTTAATGTTCCATTAAAAAATACTAAAAATCCACAGACCAACCCAGATGTTCCTCTCCTCGCTTCCTGCTTCCTTTTGGCAGCCACCGTCTGGCCTCGTGGCGTTAGATGTCTTTGCTGTCCCCATAGTCGTTGTAAGGGACGCTCAGGGTCTGCTCCTCACATGTCTTCCTGAGGTCCCGGCTGAGCTCTGACCAGTCGAGTCCATAGGGCTTGATCTCGCTGTAGCGGCAGCCCAGGTACTTAAGGGAGCCTCGTCGCAAGCTTATCTTGGGTTCCTGAAGGAGGCCATTGCACCAACTGCTGAGATCCCCCAGCTGGGAAAGGATGAGGCCAGCTTTCCTATGGAGAGCACGGAGGATACTTAGATTAGAAAGAAGAGAAGGCGGGGAAAGGCGCATAGGCCCTATTAGAGTGAGACTTACAACTCCCAGAGGGCAGAGTCTGGTGTGTCCTGCTTCCTGTTCTATCATGGGCACTCAGAACTCATAAATACCTGTCTAGCAAATGGATGGACGGATGGATGGACAGATGGATGGACGGATGGATGCAAGAACAGTCTGGCTGTGCCCAAAGTGGGACAGGCACCCAAGCAAAAGAGAGAAAAAAAATGCCATAAGGAGAAATAAAGAAAAGAAAATAACTACTATTTTGGTGGGAATTTATGCCCTTTTAAAATCATAGAGTTGGCAGTTTTGAAAGACAAATCAAATCCATTTTCTTTACAGCCAGCAATTTACCATCATTAAATGACAAATAATGTGTTTGAGTGAATATTTCCCTTTTCCAGGCTATTTTAGAACTAAGCAGAAACAGCTGATATACTGAGCCTTGGAGGGTATCAAATGTAACTGATTATGCCCGGATGGAGGGTGTGACAGCGAAATACCGGTGAAGACAACAATGCCCTCTGTGCGCACCGACACAGGGCCCTTCTGGGGGGAAACGCAGACTCTCAGAGGCCCACGTGACCTAATTCGTGTTCAGGTGGTCCCCTGCTCCACTCTGCCTTCTCCCTTGGAAAGCCAGGCGGCCATGGCCACTGAGACCCAATCCAGAGAGGGGGGAAAGAGGGGGCCTGTCGCAGATCGCGGGGGCGGAGGGGGGAGAGGAGCGGAGGAGAGCAAGGTCGCTTCAAGTTTGCACATGCTGGGGCGCAGTGATCCCTCCGGGCCAACAGGAGAGCCGGATGGCCTCTGCGTGCAGCCTGGGGAAGTCGGCTGTCCCCACGGTCGTCTTGCTGGTGCACAGCCTTCTTCTCCGTGCCCACTGCCAGTGTCAGAGACAGGGGCTCCTGTCATCCAGCTGTCAGAGCTCACCAGCTCTGAGCAACAGAACAGTGTTCCCTCACTCAGCTCCGTCCCTCCTGTTCTTCAAACCCCTAAGTGCCCAGAGAGCCACGAAGTCTCTCTTCTTTGAATGAGCTCCTGTAAAATGCAGTTCTGAAAAAGCTCAATGAACAGCATCCTTTGCAGTATTTATCACCTGCTCGGCTAACTTCTCATGTGAAGAACCAACACTTCTAATTCGGTCACTGATTCTTTCCAGAAAATGGAAGTTTCTGCACTCCTTGGAGAATGACCTTTCAAAGAACAATAAGCACGTTCGTTTCATTCCTCCCCTTCTGTCTGGCTGTGACCACCACCACAAGGTGGTGACCTCACCGCATTCCTGGGAGGACGCCCTGAGAGGGGCAGAGATGACGCTGGAGGAAAGGTGTGGAGAGTCAGCAGCGGAGTCCAGGGGTGGAGAGAGTGAGAGGTCATCGGAGGGCAGTCGTATTTTCTCCCACTTCAGAGGTGGGTCAGAGGAAGTCAAACACTCTGCCTGACACCTACTTAGCATCTCCTGCAGATGGTCTCTCCTCCGCCTATTTGCCTCTGCGGTTTGGCCAAGCAGGCTTCCAAAAGTCGTCATCAACCGGACTTTGGTGGCCCTTCCTCTTAATTTATCCCACTACATGTCATTAGTTGTTGACAAATTCTTGGAAGGTGGAGGGAGAGGGAGTGAAGGGAGAATGCGGGCAGCATGTGCATCATCCTCAAGACAAGGACACAGGAAAAGAAAGAATTTGATTGGCCCATGGAGATTTTGTGGCTACTTTCACAGGTCACTTTAAAAAATAGTAATAATAATTCATTTGGGTCTGCCCTTGGTCATCTCAGAGCCTGTGGATTTCTTCTTTCTTAGTAGCAACGCAACCAGTGTTGTTCTCAAAGTATTGCAACCCTCAAGTCGATCTGGAGGCCTCCATGAAAGTTAAGGGAATGGATTTAACTGAACTGAGGGGGTCCTTTCTGCCTGCTCACAGGGAGCGTGTAGCCCACAGAACCTCTTCTGTTCACGCTCACGACCAACTCCAAAGGTGGTGGATGCATCTCAAGGCAGAGGGCTTTTCCCTTCCTGTGGTTCTCCCCATGACACTGGCAAGTAAAACTTGATTTCCAGAAGCTAATGAAATTACACACTGTCTTCTAATGCAGAGCCTTGAAAAACCAGCATCACACATGCAAGGGTCTCCAGGGAGGAGAGTCTGGGAAGAGAATGTCAAGTCAGCAGCACGCCTTACTTTGCAGGGGGATCCACACTTCTTCCCCTGCTCACTTTCTTTATTAACCAATTTTCCTTCTGACTCTTGAGTTACAAGAGAGAAATTTTAAAAGCAATCCTAATGCCCTTGGAAATCAAGATGATATATGCAATGTTAGTGCTATTCAAATTGTGACATTTATGTTCCCTAACCGAAAACTGTATATATACACTCAATAAATGTCAGAAGGATGGAGGAAAGGAGGAGGGGAGCGGGGGGGGGGGGGGCAGAGTGAGGTGGGTGGGGAGGGAGCTAGGGAGAGAAGCAGGGAGAGGGGATAATATTAGGCATAAGTAATTATGAGGGCAGGATTAATAAGGTATGGAGCAGAGAGGACATATCTTAATACATACCAGCTTTCTAACCCAGAGTTTGCTTTCTCCTGAAACTGAGACAAAACCAATGAAAAGTCCCTTATATATTTCCCTCTGTGTCCTGGTCCACAGCCGTGGCATCTGTTTGCCTGAGGACTATCAACCTTTATAATAACTGCAGGAAATAATCTATGGAATGCAGAGAGATTCTTCCTAAACTTACACATGAACTCATTGCATTTCGGAAGATAATCCTAAACTACTTCCTCCTTTCAAAAGTAAGAGAATTTCCTGTCCTGGGAATGTCCTGAACAATGGTCTTCTGGAGAGTTGATACAGGTGACGAGAAACACACTGACACTGGGTCTCCCTCCAGTTCGATCAGCAGTCAGATAGATGGGACAACTTTTGGGTGATACTTTCGGGCAGCCTCTTGGCAGGAGTGCAAGAATTCTTTAAGTGCCAGAGAATTCCATTGCGTTGATTGTCTTCATTTGCTTTCCTTTTTTCCCCCCTAAAAATAGTCCATGCACTCCCCCTTTTGGACATATAGGCACCAACATTCCATGCAAGTCTCTTTCACTGAATCTATCTGGTAATTCCAGTATTTCCACCAAAATCTGTATTTCTCAGAGCAGGAATATGTAGCCATGATGAATGAAACAAAAGGAAGATGGTATCTGTACACATTCCTCCAATTCCTCTTTCCAAGAATGCTATCTGTGTTGTATAACCTAAAAGCAGTGGGTACTGAGTATTGAAAAGTCGTAGCCTCGGGGCCAGGGAACTCTGGCAAACACTATACTGTCCTAGCTTTGGCCAACATAGATGTCAAGGTGGGTCTTGGCCACCCCCACGTTGTCTTTCCAAAGGATGTGCAATTTAGCTGAAAACATGTCTATATAATGCATATTGTATATGCAAAGCTCATACACAATAAATAGTTTCGGATAACGATAACCTCTTCAATAAAATTCCTAATTTTCTTTCACAGCTCCTACCGTTTTTAGCATTTAGAATGCTGTGTCAGCATGATAAAGAGGTGGGTAAAACAGGTCAAGGGCAAAGATTTTTTTCAGAGTTCAGGAAATGTATTCATGACTTCCCTACTTAAATACAGCTTATCCAAACTGATCTATATGAAATGAGCTGTATAAAAGCACAGGACTTACTTCTTGGAGCACCTAAGCTCACCCAGGAAATCTCTGTGCATCCATGGGTACAGTATGATAGTGTACAGAATTTCAAAGAGCCGACATCTTTGTAAGAGGCAATGATGTTTGTGTTACCTGGGGCCTAATTCATCCTCACACCGCCAGGTGAATTCTCCAAAACTCTCATAGTGCTGGTTATAGTGGTAGAGGACTCGATGTAGGGTGGGGGAACCCAGATCCAGGAGGGTGTTATAGGCCGTCTGTTGCTCCTTCCCACTGGTATAGCCATTGAAGAGATTGTAGATCTTGTCTGCTATTTCTGAGGAGGGCAGAAAAGGCAAATAAATAACATTTTAAATACATGCATATATACACACAACGTATATGTGTGTACGTGTATAGAGACGTGTGTATATCATATTTACACGTATACGTGTGTGTGTATGTGTGTGTGATGTTGCTTAAAGAATACTGAACCTGGAGCCCAGAGACTGTGGTTTGAGTAACTCACTTTTATCTCAGCCCCATTGGTTGTTGCTCTCTTTTCTAAAAAATGAAAACCTTCAGATAAATATCTCTGAGGTCAACTTCAGTTATAATATTCTTTGTCTTTACCCATGTTTCCTGAAAATACAGTGCCTGTGGCAAAAAGATCTCAGAGGAATACTTTATTGGCAAGTGCAGTCCCGGGGACGCTGGAGGGAGGACAGAAGGAAATGAGGTGAGAAAGGAGGCTGAGGGGAATGTAGGGGGCATGCTAAGGAGCAGGTGGCACGCCTTGCAGAAGAGGAAGCTGCTGGATCCCCACCGGTCCATCCAGGGGGAGAATGGAAGACTTTATCCTCAGCTCCCCTCTCCCATTTCTCTGTGGGGCCTTTTCACGTTTGCCCCCCTTGAGGCATTAGCAACCCTGCACTTCCAGGTCACATATGCCGGAGGACCAAGTGGGTCCTGCAAAAGCATGGGGAAGCCAAGGGGGGCAGAAATTTGGCTCATGGATGGAGGGAAGCACTGTGAGGTGATGCTTGAGCAACGTGAAGAACCAGGAGTGGCCGCAGTCCCAAAAGCAACCCGGCCCCCTTATTGCAGGACTGCAGAGCCTTCGCTAGGGCTGCCCAGACCAGACACGAAGACAAGCTTGCAGATGTGTGGTGACACAGAAGCAGAATCCAGTACATCCTGCAGTCCAAATGAGTAATCTTTCAGTTTAATTTATAACTCTTAGATTTCTCCCCCAAGGCGTACATTGCTAAGACCGAACGTGGTGATGTGGCAAAGTGGCAATGAATTTGTATAGCCTTGGCATTTTTTCCTATGGAGCTTGAAGCACTTTATCATTAAATGTTTTCATATTAAACCTGTCAGAGAGAAGATTTGTTCACATTTCCTTCCTCAACAGCTGGGAACTGAGATCTGGAGAGCAGAACTCTGTCTCCGATCCAGTGTTTAATCTGGGGATGAAGAAACTAAGTCTATAGGTTTCCAAGCCAGCACTTTGCCCACTTGACCCCCTGGTCAGCCAAAAGGCATAGCAACCCGATTCCTTGTCACAGTTCCAAGTGAATTCTGGGCTGTTGGTAAGTACAAAGTCATTGTTGTAGGGATTTTCTGGGTTGGAAGGAAGAAAATTTCTACCCCTACTCTGTCCAGACATTGCAATGATTTCCTTACTTTTCTATCTTGCCCATTGCCTATGAGGACAGGAGCTTACTTCTACCATGTCCTGAGTGGCTAGCACAGGGCCAAACAACATAGCAGATTAAAAAAATGTTAGTTAAATGAATGTAATTCATGATCTTTCCAGTGCTCCCTCTCCATCCCAGACTCTACCAATCCTTTAGCAACCAAACTCTTGTAGCCAGCACCTTAACTGCATTATAAATAACTTTGATCCAGAAATCCATTTAGATTTTCAAGATTTTTAAATTCTCAGGTTGTTAAAATAGGATCAAGAGATAAAGTGGACGGTGCCTTAGAACATAAAGATCTATGGTATCCCCAGTTACTTATTAATGGCCTACTGATTGTCAAGAACTTCACATATATGAACTCCAATCCTCATACCAACACTGCAAGATGGATATGAATGTCCCTCTCCTCCACACAAGGACATTCAGAGAGAGGCTGAGAGAGGCCAGGTGATGTACCCAAGGTCATATAGCCAGTGTGGGCTGGAGTCAAGATTTAAAACCATGTCTATCTTCCATTGCTCTTTTGTATCAATGCTCAGGGGATGGTAGTGTTTGGCCAATTTAAGAAGATATAGGAGGCAGAGTCTTGGGGGATGCAAATCTGGGGTGACTATTTCTCGTAGAGGACTTCTCCTAGTTGGCCCATGGATGCCAAATAAGAGGGAGTCCTGATAAGTATGCAGGGGACCTCTTGTTCCCAGAGTTGAGACAGACAGAAGCAGAGGGACTATTCTAAGAGCTGTGTTGTTTCCAACGGGAGGAAGAGTACATGTACTGAGAGATGAAAGACCAGGGGAGGAAAAATGTGGGCGATCAGACCAGAGGCCAGATAGGAAGGTCTGGGCTTCCTTTTCCCAGGCTTTTCATTGATGCCTCTCTGTTCTTTTTTCTAGTGATGGGAAATAGCATCCCAGATCCCGGGTCCTGGTTATAACTATCCCTGCCAAGGAACAGAGACAGCTGAGAATGTTTTCCAGCGTATTTACTCTTCTCATAACACAACGGTAATATCTAGCTAGAGGAGGCTGATGCTTCCCACTAGCGGTAGCACGTGTGCCTGAGACCAGGTGGGAAAGGCCCGGGCGCCACCAGAAACCTCCTAAAACCAAGATAATCTAACTCTGGGGCATGCTTACAAGCTGACATCAGTAAATGGGATGCTATATTCAGAAGGATATACGCCAGGTTCCTAGTGCATGAGTATTTCTGGTTCCTCCTATTTCAACTGCGAAAATTTAGAGATATTATTTCATTAGCTTTCACAGCATCTCAGGAAGTCACTAACTCAGAGAATGGAAAAGAACACAAGATATTTTTAGTTATCATTTTACCCAGTTTTCAGCTTCACAGAAGTCTTGGGCTATCCAAAATAGGGATCTGTCTTCCCTGTCTTTAAAATACATGATGTTCAGGAATAGTTAAAATGCACGTGGAGAGATGGCAGGGAGTCTACAGATGTGGCCTCATCATGGAAAAGGGAAGCTGAGTTATTAGTTATCAGAAGGGAGGCCTTACCTCTCAGGCAGCAGAATAAACCAACAGGGTGGGGACTGAAGCCCTCAGACCCAGAGGGTGGTTAAGAACTGACACCATGACATATATGAAGGTGGGCTCTACCACACCAGCTGTGTGGCCTTGGACAACTTACTTAACCTCTCTGGGTCTTAGTTTCCTTTTCTGTTCAATCATGGTGAATGATATACACCTTCCAAGATTATGGTGAGACTAAAAGTGACATTAAATGTAAAGCCTTTCTGCAGCACAACGTCTGGACCCAAGAAACATACCTTTATTCATTCACTCAATACAATTTTTCCTGAGGGCTTACCACGTGCTCAACATTTTTCTAGGCACTTGGGCTACGGCGGGGAGAAACTGACAAAATTCTTCACCCTTGAGGCACTTACAGTGTAGTGGGAGGAGGCATTTCGGGAAGCAATATACATCGCCAATACAATATCCTCTGTGAGGAAGTGGGAGGAAGTCAGGCAGGAGAAGGAAGCATGGGAGTGTTGTGTAGAATTAAGCAGGGTAGCCATGATAGGTCTCATTGAAGAGATGACCCTGGGGCCGAGAGCTGGAGGAAGGGAGGAGATGAGCTGCAGGGCTGTGTGGGGAAGAGAATGCCAGGGAGAAGCAAGGCCAGCTGAGAGCTCCCAGCCTTTGGGCTGTGTATTTGAAAATAGCAAATAAGCCACAGTATTTGGAGTAAGATGAGTTGAGAGGAGAACCAGACAACCAGGAAATGCTATTTTATTATTATTATTTATGATGATGATTAATTGTTACTGGTTCTCCAGGAGATCATGCTTTCCCCAATGCCATGAGAGAGACACTGAAACATGGGAGTCCAAGAGACTGGGGCAAACAGTCTTATTTGAATGAGAGGAGTGACTCCGGGGCAGAAGGAAGCTTTCTTATACCCCAGCAGTGGCTATGAAATTTACTATGAAATGAGAATTCTGGGAGGCATCCACACCACCTAAAGCCTCCCTTGGTGCTATAACAAAAATCCCCCGAACGGAAGTCCTAAGTCACCATTTTCAGTAGTCCCTGGGCGGGGAGGGCTGAGACCTCAGTCTGTCCCCACAGTGAAGTAACTGACTACAGAATTCCCTATGAAAACCTGAGGGCAATGATCCTTGTCATTCCTGGCTCTGTCCACACCACGAGGTCCCCTCCCCCACCCCCTGCCTGTCCGCCCTCCCTGTGCAGCCCCTCCCCAGGCTGCTCTGTGCTGCCTTCACACCCGTGACTCTCAACCTTGGGAATCAAGCTTGATTCTCCACCTGGAAGGCCTGTGAAAACACAGATCGTTGGCTCCCTCCGGAGTTCCTGACTGAGTAGGCCTCAGATGGAACCCGAGAATTTGCCTTTCTGACAAGTTCCAAGGTGATGCTGTTGCAGCTGGTGGTCCGGATCACGCTTAGAGAACCACTACTCTATATGAATTCATTCTCTCAACACTTTCCTTGCTTCCTCTGGGACCAGTAATATGGCAAACAACTCTCCCTTTACCCTTGACCTTGGCAAACACTCTTCCCTGTCTCCGTGTCCCTGTGTTGGCGGAAACTTGCCTGAAACGTTTGTCCACACAGAGGAATCCTCCCATGCCCCAGTCCCTCAGCCTCTCTTGACCTCCTACAAGCAATTTACTGCTCTCTGTGTATATATGTAAGAGTCCCCCCACCTTAAAAACTCACCTGCCTCTTCCTATTTCTCCCGGCTCACTTCCTGGCCATTCTTCTACATCCATGGAAAATTCTGGCATCTGGTTCATTCTCCACTTCATTTCTCATCACTATTTTGGGTGATTTCACTGTCCACATGAAAGACCTCTTTAAAACTAGAACCAACCCCCACCCCCCACCCCCCGGCCCCGCCAGCTGGCAAGAGTCAGTCATTGTCTGAGACCTTCTCCAGCTTTGAAATGGTAAATCCCAACATCACATATGGTGAACACAACCTCCTTTCAAGCTTCCTGTATTTCCCTCCACCAAATCTGTCCTTCAGCCCCCAGGTCTTTTGGCTCCACCATTCCCTCCGGGCATCAGCTCTGTATCTACATCCTTCTCTACCTGACATAATCCACAGGGCCCATGGCCTGTGCCCTCAACCAGCTTGCTCCATCCTTGGCCTCTTCTCTGCCTTCATCTAGGATGCTGGGGTCTGCTGGGGGAGAGTCCAAGCCATTGAACTAGACGGTTCTGCTCAGCCTGCCTTGGCATGACTTTTTTCTTTCCTGCTCCAAGCCATCAGCAAATCCTTTCAGTTCTACCATCAAAATAATTTAGAACCAAACCACTTCTCGCCACCTCTCTCACGAGCATCCTCTCTCCTCTGTCCCTGCCATTGCCTTGGCTCCCCACTGGACCTGCTACTTGGAGTCCACTCTCGGCACAGCAGGTGAATGAGCCTGTGAAACGCTAAGCCCCATCACGTCCCTCTTCTGCTTGAAGTGCTCAGCGCTTCCCTGCTTAGTCCCAGGCCGAGTCCCCATCCCTGCACTGGGCCCCTGGGAGCTCGTCTCCACCTTCTCTCTTCTCCATCCCTCATCACCACAGAGGCCTCCTTTCCCATCTTAAAACACACCAGGCATCTCTGTCCTGTTGCTCCTCTATCTGGAATGATCTTCCCTGGGTATCTTTGTGTCTTCCTCTTTCACCCTCTTCCCAAACCACGCCAGTTAAAATGCTGCCCTGTGTACTGCTTATCCCATTTCCCTGCTAGTCAGTCTCCATAACATACATCACCATCTGAAATATTTGTTTTACTATCTTTTGTAGTTTGTCCACCCTGCTGAAATCTAAGCTCCAGGAGGCAGGGGTTTTGCCCCCTAATGCCTAGACCAGGTATTTAGTTGGGGCTTAATATGTGTGGTATGATTTGATGCATTTATATAGAAATCAGATTACACAGTTTTTGAAAACAAATTCTGAGTCTAATTTTTGTTGTTTCTGTAGTATCTAATCCCAGGGCTCAATAAATGCCAAAGGAAGGAAGGGACAAGAATTTATGTTTGGCATCAGGAAAGAAGGATGGATGCTGGGGGGAGTGATGGATGAGAGCTGGCCTTCACTTCGTGAAGCTTCACAGAGAACTCTTGCAAGGCCATGCCCCAGCCTGGAGATGAGGCTGGTCTTATAGCTGACATGAGCTCGTTCTTCCCCGGGAAGGACGCTCTCAGTAGAACATGGGTGGCAACTCACTTGCTCAGTGGCTTCAGTGTCATGATGTGGTAAAATTCTTCATAGAAAGTATCTGGTTTAGGAAAAGTGTTCATATAAGGAGTAGTCTGGCTTCCTGCTGGATCATTAGGAGCTAAGTTGTATTTATGATCACCATCTGGGTTTGAAGGAGGCAAAGCATATGGTTTTTCGGTAGAGCTGCTAGAACTGTATTAATTTGTGAGGATCTCCTCAATGAGTCCACCTCATTAATCTGCACGTTTGCCCTGTATGGGACTCCCTCCTGGTGGAAGAGTAAAAGCACGTGGGGATGCTACCTCATTGTCTCAGCATGAAATTGACTTTCCGGCGTGCAGCTGGTCTGCTGGGATTTCAGATACTCTCCTTCGTCCGGGAGCCCACATGAGCAGAAGCACATCTTGATTCACTTTGGGGGCTGGAATTAACCCAAAGGAGCCCCACAGAGAAACAGAATAGCGGTCTTTCCAAGGCACACTACTCTATGTTGGCCCCTCTTTACTCCAGAGTTGCTGTCTGTCCATCTATTTCTGCAGGTAGCACTGTGCTGCAGATCTACCTGCTCATCACCTCTCTGATGCCCCACCACCAGCCTGCTGCCTATTTAGCAAGCAAGTCCAAGGTGCCTACTGTGGCCGGCAAGGACACAAGCAAATTCTCCAAAACAGAATTAGCTGGGGCACCTTCTCATCACCTGCTCCTCTCTGGCTTGAAGTAAGAAATCAACAGATGATGACCTAAGGGTGCCAGGGGGCCTCTCCCGATAGCCTCTCATCTGAGGGTTTTCAACCCCAGACTCTGCTTTCATCATCAAGGGATTTCGAGACCTTCAAAAGTCATTTGGTCCATACCCTGTAAGGCAGGCAGCACTCACTCCGGTGAGAAGCACATCTGTCTTATATGTAAAGGTCTCCACTGAAATCCTGAAAGGGGGAATTTTTTTTTTCTACCTAACTTGAACACTCTTTTTTTTTTTTTTTTTTAATGTAGGTCTTTTTTTCATTCAGAGACAAAGAAAGGTTTTCACTCTTTTACACAATGACCTTCTAAATAATCTGATTTAACATCATAGGCAAAATGGGAATTGATGTCAAATAATGAGTCTGAGTGCTGACTCTGTTCAGTGCTCATTTTGTGACCCTGGTCAGCTGTTCACTTGACTCTGCATCTCAATTTCCGCATCTATAAAATGGGGGCAATATTCTATCCATTCAGTAAATCCTTATTGCGTCCCTATTAGAAAGCAGACTCTGCATGGTTAGTGGTAGCATTTCCAAATTAACAGAGACATTTATGTGTTAGGGACGTAATAGTGAGTAAACCAAACCAGACTCTGCTCTCCTGGAGTTCACTGTCCAGTGAGGTAGATATTGAACACATGATTCTAATAACAAACGGAGATGAATGTGCTGAAGGAAAGTAACATGATACTGTGAGAACATCTAGCAGTCGCCCTTGACCTCTTGACTGTACCAAGGAAGGGATACCTGACCCGAAATCTGCAGGCTGAGAGAAGCTAGTTAGTTAATCAGGGGTGGGGGTAAAGGGTGTTCAAGGTAATGAGACGGACATGTGCAAAGGGCCGGTGGTAGGAGTGGGAATGGTGTGGAGGACCTGAGAAAGGCAGTGAGGCTGAAATGCAAAGATCGATGGGGAAAGTGGATGAGAAGAGGCTGGAAAAGTGTGCGAGGGTCACCTCATTTAGGTCCTAATGTGTCTGTTAAGTATTTTGGTCTTTGTCACAAGAAGAATGGCAATCCATTAAAGAGTTTTAAGAAGGGGCCTTAATATGATCAGATTCCTGAGTTGAAAAGAACAGTGTCACACACACTAAATGAGGCGATAAATGTGAGAATCCTTCCAGAAGCTGTAAAGTGTTACAGCATCAGTGATTTTAGTTAAGGTAGGTCTGGTCACTCTCTCCCCTGTGATTTTGCATCACCGTGCACACCCCTTGATCGCTGAGGGCTTGTACCCCTCATGGGCAGCCTGATACACCTGGAGCCAGGAGCCATCTCAGGCAACGTGAGGAGCCAGCAATCGGCTTGGCCACACTGTTTCCCTTCCTGAAACCTGCACGCCTGAGCTCCCTGCGATGGCCCATGTGTCCGCTCATGTGCAAATCAGCCCTATTCCCCTGGAGAGCCCGCAGTGGTTGGTCGGAGCCCTGTTCTTGGTGTGAGAGCCCCGCGGAAGGGATGCCCAAGATGGCCAAATCCTGGCTGTGGACAGCATGTGCTAAGCCTCAGAGCAGGGGACACTATCAAGACCCGCCAAGGGGCATGGGGAGGAAAGGGAGTTCCCGCAAGTGTGCTGTTTGCACAGATGTCCACATCTGTAGCCTTTCTATGTTTCAATTCAAAAGAACTCTGCTGATGTGCACACACATATGAAGAGAGGAATCCCAAGGGCAGAGGTCACAGGACTCCACCATGTACCTAAGCACCTGGTGTGTTACTGTGCGTGCCCAGGGGTTTTGCCAGTGTGTCCTCCCGGCTCCCTGACCCCCAGTGTGTGAGATAATGGGGTACCGTGAGGATCTCTACCGGAGGCAGAGGTGGAGGAGTACTCCCAGACACGTGCCACTCCGGGGCTGGGCCTTGAGTTCTCCCCCTTCCCTGTGGAACCCCAGGTTGTTCTGTTTGACTCCCTTGCTCCCGCTTCCATCACGGCGAGGGGAGGCCCCTGGGGCGTCCCTCTGCAGGCTCTGCTGTCACTTACCCTGGGCCTTGACATCATCCACCACGGGGCAGGGGGTCTTCACAATCACATCGCTGGGCCTGGAGCGCCGTCCGGTGTTGTCCACTCCCCACAGGGTGAACCTGGCAGACGGGGGAGGGCGTCGTTAGCAGAGAGAAGCTGAGACCCAGGCTGATGGCCACGCTGAGCTGGGGCGGGTTTGCACCAGGGCACAGAGCAGTGGTTCTCAACGTGGGGCCCTCAGACCCGCAGCGTCCACATCACCTGGGGACTTGGTAGCAATGAAAACTCTCCCACCCAACCCCAGACCGACTGAAGCAGGCTCTCACAAGCCTTCTAGGTGAGTCTGATGCCACTTACACGCTGACGGCACCTGAGCCGAGGGAAGGAGTAGAAACTTGGGTCAGAACTCGGGTTGGGTCTGAAGCCCGGCTGCTGGGAATGTGATGACGTGCCTGGGGGCAGGGCCGGGACCACACCTGGGGACTCCGTGGGAAGCCTGGCCTCCTGGCTGTCAGGTAGGCCTGGGCCAGTGCTGGGCATGCCCTCCTCCCTACACCGGGCGGCTCAGTCCGTCCCACTGGCCTCTCCTCCTTGATTCAGATCTACCTTCTTGCCTGGTACTAAACCCTGCCCTGACCCTGCAACCAAATTCTAGCACCCTGCAATGTTTCTCTCCCTGCCACCTCCCCTTCTCTCCTCCTCAGTCTGAGTGGGCTCTTTGCATCACACCAGCCCCACACAGCTTCCCAGGGGCTGCCTGGATCCCTACCAATGGCACCCCCTGGAAATGGTTTCATCTCTGGTCCTCCCACACACCTGATCAGCCCAGCTGGTATGTGCTGTTTCTAGAATTGTGGCTGAGGCCACCAAACTGAAGCTGGGGCATCTGTCTGGAACCTTGCTCTGATCTTGAGTCTTGTCCTACAACTCGGGTCTCAGGCTGGGTCTCAACTCTTTCCTCTGCCTACCTACTCCAGACTCTCTTGAGCTAAGGTTCTCAGGGATGGGCCCAGAGGCAGCCAGGACAGCCCACAGACCTGTGCCTGCCATCTGGGGTTCCCACACATGGACACGGTTCCCCCACACACACCTCTGTCCCCACCATGGAGCAGGAGTGCTAGGGAGAGAGAAATGAGAGCCTCGAAGGATGGCCACCATCCTGCAAGCCGTGCTGGGACCGACCTCTAAGGTCCGAGTGAACCCCCCTCTCTCCCAAGACACCCTGCTGCGTGGGAAGTCCGGCTCCCCCCACCAGAGGTGGGCCACCTGATCTTTGCGGCAGACTCTGCCCTGACTCTGCCAGGGGCAGGCAGTTCTCACCAGAGTCTGGAGATAGGAGGCCCCGTTCTCTCCCATGCCAGTGCACGGGCACCCTGCTCCTAGCGCCCGCGGGCGCCGTGCCCAGTCTTACCACGGGCTTCTCTTCCTTCCTTGCCCCTCCCCACCCACGTGTCTGAGCCCGCGCTCCTGCGCCCCTGGCCTGGTTCAGCCACTGCGATCCAGCCCGCCCGGGGTGCTATCCTCTGTGAGACGGCTCTGCCTTGTCTTTTCCTCTCCACCTTCCAGGGTCCTGAGCACGGCCAGCGCTGCAACCTGATGTGATGCTACCCACCTGTCTGTTTAACGTCACCTGCCCTAGACAGTCTGCGGCCGGGCTCCAGCCACTTTTTGTGGCCCACCATTACTTAGCTCTTTAATTTCTAGCAGAGTCCCTGACTGAGATGAGAAATGTCCTGAGCCTCGAGCACCAAACTGGCTATCAGAGGGACCCTCTGCCTCGGTGCCCGGGAGCCTGGGACGTGTGACCACCCCCACCCCCCCCGCCCCGGCTGCTCCCACTCCTGCGGGCAGCTTCGCTCTGTGCCCTCCTTGCGGTAAGCTCTCCACTAACTCGATCAGATCCCGAGCTGGAATGAAAATGCCTGTGCTTAGGTGAATTCTCACATTACTCTGGCGGGGCAATTAGTACAAAAGTTAGGGCCCAGAGCCCTACTATTTCTAATAGCAAAGCAAGGTGTTAGGAAAGAAGATGCTTCCCCTAACCTCCTAAGCAGAGACGGCACTTATCCTAAGAGCCCTTCCTCAGCGGGCCGCCCCGTAGGCCCTGGAGGGACGCTGACAACTGCCAGCTTAAATTTACCACCAAAGCCCAGGGGGCACTTTCCATATTTTCGTGGGGAAGGGCTGCTCCGTTCATTGTCAGCGTTCTGGTTTCCACCATCGAGCACTTGCAGGGCAGCGAGAAGGTGAGCTGGAATGAGCAGACAGGAGAGAGAAGCCTGACTCCCAAGCCAGAGCGCTGATGTGGGAGTACATTTGCTGCCTCGTCCAAGACTCCTGGGCCCTTTCCACAGCCACCTGGCTGGATTGTCCAGCCTGTCCTTAGAGTCTGTGATGACACCTGCATGGTGTGTGTGTGGGTGTGAGTGTGTGTGTGTGAGAGAGCGAGGGTGTGTGTGGGTGTGAGAGTGTGGGGTGGGAGTGTGTGTGAGAGGGTGTGTGTGAGTGTGAGAGCGAGTGTGTGGGGTGAGTGTGTGTGGGTGTGTGAGAGTGAGCGTGTGAAGGTGTGTGTGTGTGTGGGTATGAGTGTGTGTGTGCGTGGGGGGGATATGAGAGTGTGTGAATGTGTGGGAGGGTATGAGAGCATATGTGTGTGTGTGTGTGTGTGTGAAGATGTGTGAGAGGGTACGTGAGGGTGTGTGAGTGAGCGTGTGAAAGTGTGTGAGAGGGTACGTGAGAGTGTGAGTGCATGTGTGAGAGTGTGTGGGGGGGATACGAGAGTGTGTGAATGTGTGCGTGTGAGTGAGCATGTGAGATAGTGTGTGGGTGTGTGTGTATGAGAGAGTGAGTGTGTGTGAGGTTGTGAGAATGAGAGAGTGTGTGAGGGTGTCTGTGTGAGTGAGAACCGACAAAGCCTGGCTCCGGTTCCTGAAACTTGGTGTGCAAGGAGCACCCTGGCCGAGTCCAGGGCTGGCTGCCTCATGTGCTTCTCTCACGTGTCCCGGCGCACCTGTGGCGGGTTCTGCGGAGGGCTCCGAGTCCACTCCCCCCCCCTTTTTTTTTAAGATTTTATTTGAGAGAGCGAGAATGAGAGAGAGCACATGAGACGGGGAAGGGTCAGAGGGAGAAGCAGGCTCCCCGCCGAGCAGGGAGCCCGATGCGGGACTCGATCCCGGGACTCCAGATCATGACCTGAGCTGAAGGCGGTCGCTTAACCGACTGAGCCACCCAGGCGCCCCACCCACTCCCCTTTTCCGAACTGTCGTCCGTCGGCTCCTGCTCGCTCCCAAAGGCAGTAGTTCTCCTGTGAGCACAGGCTGGGACGAGGGGCGTGGGCTAGAAAGGGAGCCACCTCCCCGCTCGGGCCTCAGTTTCCTTCTCTGTAAACTGAAGATGTCAAACCAGACACACTTTAAGATCTCTTTCCACCAGGGAATTACATGTTTTTGTACTGTGGACCCAGAATTCTCACAATCGCACAGGCTGACAAAATAAGCCAGCTACGCTGAAACGCCCTTCCACCCCGTGGAGGCAGCTCCACGCTTTCACGTGAGGAAATGAGATCATGCTGCTAGATCCTTCCGGTAGCCTGGAGTGGCTGCGGAGTAAGAAGCAGTCAGCGAAGAGAACGCAAACCCTGATTCAATTCTTAACCACCGCCACACCCCAGACAACCAGCTTGCGACTCTGTGTTGCTGAAACTCAGTTTCCTCAACTATGAGATGAGAGCAAGACCCCAGCCTCACAGGGTCCCCGAGGGTTCCCAGGGGCTCCCGCACCCAGTAAGCACCCCACAAGCGAAGGCCGAACCCTCCCTTTTAATGATAAGGAAACTTAGTTGCAATCCTGCTTACAATGACCAGCGCTTAGAAACAGAACCAGGCTTGGGGCCATGTGTTTCCAGCAATTAATCCGGGGCTCTGTACTCCTACCACACTCTGAAGGTCTGGCTTCAAGCTACAAGGAGGCCAGGCTCTCCCAGGCCCTCCAAGGCCCTCTTCGCGTGATCTGCAGCGCCACCTAGTGGAGCGCCACCTAGCCAGCGGCTTCTTCCCTCTGTCCCAAGCGCTCTGACTTCATCATCAACACAGACAGAAAGCTGGTGCTTTACGAGACTTAAGAGGGCAACGCTGGAAGTTCACCAAAGACTGCTGTGAGGGAGAAGGTGTCAGTCTCAGGTCTTTGATCAGGAAACGTGGCCAAATCAGGCCAACGTGAGGAGGGTCCCAAGATGGGTGAGGGCTGGTTCACAGGAATTTCCAAACTCCTAATTAACAGCTGTGACTTAGTGACAAGAATTAGGGAGCTCTTATTTTAAGTGAGAATTCCAGCTTCACTGAGTTTGAGGCATTTTACTGCACCGTCCTTAATCTTTCCTCCTTTTGCCTGTTTCCCCTCCTCATAAAGGGCGACACCTGCCCAATAGCAAGAGAGCTGCTAAAAATCTTAAGTTGGTCAGCTTTCCCTTGTCATGGAACCATCCTTTCCATTTCTCTGTATTTTCCAGCTCTTCTAGAATATCCCTTGTCTTGACATATTTTACTAGTATGGCCCCCTAGTTACATCTCTTTCCAAGATGGAAGCCATTCAGCCTGAGCATCTCCTTCACTTGCAGTCAATGCCACTCACATTTCTAGTGCTTTTTACCTTTGAATTCTTTACCTGTGGAAATGGAGATGATTTATTCTGGCTACTCTGACTCTATTTTTGTGACCTCATCTGTAAACTGTAAACTGTTTTTCATACCAGTGGGGTCAAAAGGTCCCAGAACTAACATTACCAGGAATTCTGCCTTGCCCTCCTTCCCTGTTTTCCCCTCATGACTTAGATTTCCTCAACCTCTCTCCTCTCACAAGAGCGTCTTTTATGTCTCTGCTTCACAACTATTTTACTATTGTTCCAGGAGCACAGGGAGAAATGAGGAAGCGCTCCCAGAGAGAACAGGGCTGTTCCAAGTGCCATGAGATAGGAGTCCACCATATTTTCCTTGGAGAAAAATGCTGACCATCTCTACCTCTATAAACTATTTCGACGTCACTGGAGCTAGCTTTCTAAAGCAGAGTTCTTGCTATTCTTTCGTCAAAAAAAATTAATAATCTCCCTTGACTTAGAGCATTCACTCTCTTTTTCCAGAATCACTTTCTTCCATTCCCTTTTACTCACCATCTGCTTCTGCTTGATTGGACTACTTGCTACTCACCTTCATGCCTCTTTGCTTTTGCCCTTGCTGGTTCCTCAGCCTGCTCTGCCTTTTCCGACATCACTCTACCTACCGAAATTCTACACGACCCCAGTGAGTGATGTCCACTCTAGTTAGAATTAGCCACTCCTTTCCCTTCTCTTCTGCATGTTCCTTGTTCTTCCATCTAGCCTCTATGTCGTCCTATCAGATGTTAAATTTAGCTGTTTGTATATTTCCTTTCTGTGTTGCAAACTCTTTGAAGGATGGGGCTCTCTTGTCTTTCTTAATCCTCCCTTTCCAGTCCCTAGAAAGTTCTCTATAACTGATCAGGGTAAGACTTGAGAAACTCAAAATATTTTTCCGAGTTTCTGAAGGAACTCAAGCACGAAAAGGAAGGAGCTCAGAGCCTCAGGACGTTCAGGGTAAGGAAAAGCCAGGCAGGCGTGTATCACTCACATGTAGATGGTGTCCGGTTCCAGGCATCGAACGATCAGAGAGATAGTGGTGAGCTGCTTGTCTGGTACCCGAGCCGGCATGGCACAAGGAGACTTTGCTCCAGAGATGATGTCGTCCACAAAGCTCAGCACCGTTTCTGCCCCAGGTGGGGGGGTGGGGGGGAGGAATGGAAAAGGCCATGAGAAACAGTGCTGGCCAAGCAAGGAGATGGCATCAGTTCAATGGGAACTTAACATTAGAACTGCTTGGTCCCCAGTCTTCTCAAATTCCTAGTAGAGAAAAAAGACCTAGAAGGAATTGTCTTTTCTGTTTCATGTTTAATCAATTTAGAGCCATTTGTCCGGAGTGAGTTCAGACACAACTATGGCAAGATGTACACACATGTGTGAGCTCTTTTATGAAATGTTCTTGGCAAGGGTAGGGAGCAGCTGCTGAGGGCAGTGGTCCCTGCCAGCCCTTTGCAGTACCTGTGCGCATCAGGGACAGGGCCTCGAAGGAAGCAGGAGACAGTTCCCCATACCTGAAGGCCGTGCATATGTCTCCCAGCCTCGCTGACCATTTTGGCAGAGCTTGTTCACCCTGCATCAAACTGTGGACGCCACCATCCTGTGGGGGACCACACTCACGCGTAGGTTTTAGGGATGATTTATGTTGACCTTTCCCTACGTGTAGGCAGCAAAATACTAGGGCATGGAACATTGTTCATGGGGTGTTTCCACTTCTTGAAGACTTCCCTCTTCTAGCTGGACCTGGCAACTGCAGAGTTTGCTTTAGGACAAGACATGGGGTAACATCTGTTTGCGCATGCTTTTGCCCAGAGGGGGGTTATTAGCAAAGGAATTTTTTTTTTCCTGTAATCATGGCAGTGGTTAGCACAGAATTGTTTCTTAATTGTGGGCTAGGATAACTAGTGTACTGTACTGTTGTTTCTTTGTGAGTGTGCCTAGAGGCAATGAAATGGACACCTCTTTAATAAACAAAAAGAAAAACAAAATCAAAACAAGACTTTGTCAGATGCTCACCATGCAAAAACTCTTAAATGGACGAGATGGCTGTTCTTGCTTCCCCACCCCTGGCCCACCCACCTCGCCCCCGCCACCCCCACCCCACCACCCAACCACCAGGGACCCTTGGACACCGGGGATCCGGAGCATAGACCAGGAGGCAGGACATTTTTCTTTTCTCTTCTTTTTACCAATGGATTAAGATGAGCCCATGAAGTTGGAGAGGCTCACCTGTCTCCACTTTGGAGTGGTCCATCCTGTCAGTGACCTTTTCCTGACGGATGAGGTAATCTACAATCTGCACCCCAATTGGAGGCTCTGAGTGTTCCCACTCCAGGACCACGAGGGTGCTGCTGGGCTCATGAACCGTGGAGAGTCTCAGCCTGAGTGCAAGACAGGAAGAGACATGACATGGGGACCTGTTGGGTCCTGCGATGTTCTTCTGATACTGGCCACCTTCTCAATTGTTATGCCCTCAAGTCTTCCTTCTAACCTTTCTTAACCAACCACTGCAACAATCTCTCTGAGCGCCTGTCTCCTTCACTAGAGAGCAATGGTTCTTGAAGGTCCCCAGAATCTGTATTTTATTACTCTTAAGTGCCTTTTACAGATTAGGAACTCAACATCTGCTTGCAAATAAATAAATAAGTAGGTGAATCAAAGATGAATGAGCACCTACATCTTATAGGGTCAGTGGGCAGGGCTTTCTGGGTGGCCCTGCTTACAAATATAATTTCTTGCAAATATAATTTCTGGATTTGCCCTTGAATATAGGAGAATGTGCCTATAAAGCTCATGCCAAGGCTCACTGAGGTGGTGTCTGGGAGAGCCCTGGGTGATGTCCTGTGGCTACAAACTTGAGCTCTGATTTCAGGTTCTTTTTTTGTTCTTGGGTTTCTTTGACTATCCTGATTCCCGACTCCAGTCTTTCTTTGCTTTTCCCAATTCAGAGTCTCCTCCTTCCATGCAAATTGTCCATTTTCACCACTCTTTTGCCTTGCCATCTCATATGTCCTTATGCCTTGCAGAGACTCACTACACATTATTGACGTTCGTGGTACGGATCTCCTAATGGTCCAAGTGGTTTCAATTTGTTACCTTGTTCTGACTTCATAGGTATATCTCAGATTTGTCACTTGCTTCCAATTCCGGGTTTCTTTCTAGACCACTGGCTTCTGGGGATTTTCCTGGCTCCTGCTCATTCCAGTCTCCGTCTGTCACATGCCATCCCTGCCATTCACCCTCATCCTTGGTCCCCGTATCTCACGACCTCCCATAATCATCGACCTCTGCTCTCTACTCAGCTCACAGATGCCTGTCACTGGTCTCAGGGGGTCATTGTGCCAGGTGCTACAGATGGAACACACCAAGGCAACGGTCAATTTCAATTCAGCAAATGTTTGTTGAGCACCTACTACGTATCAGAATGTGCTTGGTGCTCAAGATGCAGTGGTGCTCGAGCCACCTCCAGCCCCTTCTTTTTTTTTTTTTTAGATTTATTTATTTGACAGAGAGAGAGACAGCGAGAGAGGGAACACAAGCAGGGGGAGCGGGAGAGGGAGAAGAAGGCTTCCCGCGGAGCAGAGAGCCCGATGCGGGGCTCGATCCCAGGACCCTGGGATCACGACCTGAGCCGAAGGCAGAAGCTTAACCGACTGAGCCACCCAGGCGTTCCTATACATTGTTTTAATTGGCATTTTTTCCAATGAACAAATGAGTTGACCATCTCTTCAAATATTTGTTAGCCAGTTTGCTTTTCTCTGCTATGAATTTTCTTTTTTTTTTTTTAAAGATTTTATTTATTTATTTGAGAGAGAATGAGAAAGAGAGCACATGAGAGGGGGGAGGGTCTGAGGGAGAAGCAGACTCCCTGCTAAGCAGGGAGCCTGATGCGGGGCTCGATCCCAGGACCCTGGGATCACGACCTGAGCTGAAGGCAGACGCTTAACCGACTGAGCCACCCAGGCGCCCCATAACCCCTTCTTTTGTGGAGTGGTCAATAGAAAAACATACAATTATACATGTGATTATAATAATGTGTGATAAGAACTTTAAGAAGAAATCACGGGAGACTGTGGGAGCAATAGCAAGGAATTCAACCAGTGGAAAAATAATGCAAAACACATGCTCCTTAGTGGCTTACTATGAAGGAGTGCATAGTTTGCAGATGACATGAAAGATGGAGTAGACCCAAAACAGTGCGGATATTGACGAATTCATTAATTAGAGTCATATGCCGAGTGCTATTTTGAAGAAAAAAGCATTAGGAAGCTTAAGTAAGTAACTAAGCCTTTCTGAGAAGTCAGATTCTGTGAAAATGTGGACCAAAGCTGGCCTCTACTGAGAAACAGCGGCATGCATGATTTACATAGACTCGTGTAAAACCAGAGTACATTTCTATTTCCAATTACCAAGAAACGTTCAAGAAACTAAGGTCTGCTACTAAAAGAAGTGATTAAAGTTGACAAGAGAAGTGAAGTCCTTAATAGATGTTCCTGCTTATGGAAATTTAGCCCAATTTGATCTTTAGCAATAACATACAGTAAACGCAGGTTTAGAAAGAAAATCAACCCTAAGACACCAATGGTTGGATCTTGTGTCCACCTGATGATAACTGTTTAGTGGCCTCAGTGTTGTGTCAAAAATGAGGTAGTTTTCTTAGTGGGTGAATCCATCTAGAAGCACCATCTGCTTCTAGTGGCTCCCTTTATACCAAAAGAAAGGACCTTGACTAATAATGACCTCAATTCTCCTTTGACTCAAGAGGTCCAAGTCATGGCCATAAAGAGCAAGAAGCCAAGTGCTGGTGTATCTAAAACTACCCATAGAGAGAGGGCACGTGGACAAGAGAAGACATTGGTTTGCGCTGATAGTCTACTGTTGTGTCTCATCTCTCTTGGTTCTCTTCCTGTTCAGTCCTGGCTCTTTGATGCCCAATAGCACTTCCCTGCATCAGGCCGGAGGGCAGCATCTGCACAACCAGACTCTCACTGGCTGGTGTCCTCCTGCTGGCTCGCTCCTGCTGACTCAGCCTCCTATTCCCATGGGTCCTGATCCTCCCTTTGGGCTTTTTTTGCCTCACCAACCCATGGGGCCATGTGACTCCAGTGGTTCCTGCCAGCACTCCTTATTAGACACCATATGTCTGTGCGTCACTCCCAGTACAGATGTCACAGCAGAGGCTAAGGGGGTGCCTGCCTACAGGGATTTGGCCAGTTCTGTGCAGCCTTCCCTTGAGGGCAAGGAAATTGGACATGTTCTTCCTGAACCACCTTGACAACCCTTTGTACTCTGTTCACCCCTCAAATGCAGATAGCCCCTAATGCTCATCTCTGACCCTCTCCTCTTTCCAGTTGATACTTATTCGAGAGGATCTTTTCTCATAGCTGGGGTTCCATTGCTCATTTCTTTGGGGTTGGTTTAAATCTTCTTATCTCTAGGAGACGTCTATTTCTCCAAACCGTCTTTCCCTCTGACCTCTGAACATCTCGGTAGGACTGCCCTGCTATACCTCCAAGACGGGTCCAACTGGACACAGTCTCCTCCTCAAACGTGCATGTCCCTTGATGCTTCTCTTCTCAGCTGTGGCTTATTCATCTTCCCAGCCACTGGGACTGAAGTCACAGGTCCATTCTCAACTTCTCCCTCTTTCTCCCTCCCACACCACCAAGTCACCCACAACCCCCCTTCCACCACCACCCCCCCATTGGTTCTACCCCGGATCATCTCTCCGTTGTGTCCTCTCAACATTATCATGGCTAATATCATGGCCTCTTAGCGGTGGTGGCTCTGCTTCCTGCTTGAGGGCCTTGGAAAAATCATTCAGACCATCTGAATGCATTTCCTTGTCTCTTAAATGGAAGTGATAACAGTACCTAATGGCTCCACACAGAGCTGCCACCCAGGAAATGTGTCATTGGCCTAGTAGAGTCTCACTACCGATCTCTCACTTCCTCCCCTGCAATGTCACTTTAGCCCTCTGATCTTCTGGCCATGCTGTCCATCCTCTCTATCTTCAGGGAGAAACTCAAGTGCCATCTCCTTCATGAAGCCTTCGCCTGCCCCCAATTCAGACTTGACCATTCCCTTTCACACTTGACTTAAACGTCTCTGATAACTCTTATCAGACCATGTCTTCTCCTATGACACTCTGCGTGCTGCATCCCTAAGATTGAAAGCTTGCTGAGGCCAGGAGCTGCCTCATGTTTTTCTTCCTGTTCCCTGGCCCCTGGTCTATTGCTTTGCAACAAGTGGATGCCCTGTAATACACATTTGCAGAACCGTGCAGAGGCGGGCACGCAACACAGAGGCAGAGAAGGGGAGTCATACACAGGCTGTGGGAGAGGTGCACAGGTGGGAAGTCCATCTGCTCCAAAAGCCGTGGAGTCGCATCGACACCAGTCCTCGATGACATCTCCAGTCCCTGAGCACCAGAGTGAGCTCATGGTGGCCTCCTGCAAGAGCTGCAAGAGAAGGAAGAGTAAGTGTCCGGGAGCCAGGGCTGGGTCACCAGTCAAGAGACAGAATCCAGGCTTTGTTTGGTTCTAGATTACTTTCAGCCAGTAGGCTGGGGCACCACTTCACCATTTTTTTGATCTAAAATTCCTACCCCAGGAGACTGATTCTGGGAAGCTAGACCTTGCAGGACCTCCTTGGTGCTGCTCTCTCATTAATGTGCCAGTCACCCCTATGGTTGAGAGCTGTTACCTTGGAAGCAAGTCTTACTTCTCCCTTCTTCTCCATCCGTCACTCCACACCCAAGGCCCTAGCAACAATAACATCTCGACCATCCACTGCCCTGACCCCTCTTCTCTCCACCCTTAGGCCCTTGGCCCTTTCTCAAATGCCTCTCTGTGCATCCTCATCTGCCCTTCGCATCCTGCCCAGCACTGCCCCTCTGCCACATTCCTTCAGTGTGCCTTGTACCCCACATACAATATTTATACAGATCTGCCTTGAGTGTGAGGCCTCTCTTTCCTGGTAGAAGGTAGAAACAGAGCAGCAACCAGGTGAAGAACTGTGCTCCAGAGCTGTCTGCCCTGGGTAAGGACTTTGGCTCTGCAAATCACTGCCATGTGACCTGGGGCAAATTAGATCAACTTGGTTTCCTCAGTGGAAAAATGGAATGGAAACAGCACTCTTCTCATAGGATTGTTGTGATGATGACCTGAAATAATATACGCCAAAGGGCATAGCATAATACCTGTGCTGTGCATGCATTAGTAACATATAAATATTACATCAGTAATCAATAAATGTCAGCAATTATTATTATGTTTGAATGACAGGCTTGGGTCTTCTGTGGAAGCATACAAATGTCACAGAGCCTAGGACAATTCTTTACATACAGTGATTTCACAGCAGATATTCCCTAGTCGATGAAAGGACAAAAGGATAAAATTAGACTAGTCAGGGAACAGAACTTGAGATGGGACAATTTCCTGGTGAGGAAGCAGATCCTGATGGGCACTGACCACTCACTGGGGCCCTGCTGCCTCAACCCCAGCCCAGGGATAGGGAGAGGGCAAGGCTGGCCACAGGCATGTGGCCGTGCCCTCTGGCCGAGGTCAGCTCTCTGTCTGGGTCAGCTCACCATCCGCAGCCTCTGCTTTTCCTTTGAGTCTCTTCTCTCTGACCCACTCTTACCAAACCCACACAGAATTGGTAAATTAGAGAAATGAAGCAGCCATCTTGGAAAATTTTAGGCCAAAATATTGGAAGGGGGGGGAGGGGGGATGGAGGGAGGAAGAAAAGAAAGAAGGAAGGAAGGAAAAGAAAAAAGAAGAGAGTAAGAAAAAACCGACAGATAACCCTACAAAAATGGAAATGTCTAAGCTGAAAGCCAATACCCTAAGTTACATTCTCCCAGAACTTCACATAAGGGTTCATACTGACCCCGCTCCCACCTTCCTACTCCCAGATTGGGAGCTTCTAGGGAGCAGGGACCAATTCTTGATTATCAGTATATGTGTGTAGTTTTAGAATTTCAAGGCCCTTTTAGGGCTAACACCGTAGTTTGAGCTCCATGATAGACAGGATTTACAGTGGAGGGCATTTAGAGTCAAAGAGGTTAGTGACTTGTTCAGGGTCACAGGCTAGTGAGTGGGGGCCACCCCAGAACCTGAGCTCAATGTGACTGATTGTCCGCCGGCTCCTAGTAGGAAGCCCGGTGCACTGCAGGTGCTCACTTCATGCTTTGCCTGACTGAACTCAAACTCAAACCAAACTCAAATCAAAAGTATACTTTCTTAAACTAGGAAAACCGACTTCCGTTGAGAGAGGTAGAATAAAGAGGAAATTGTGGCTGCCTGCGTGCAGTTTTCAATCAACAGTTACTAGCTAAGCACCTGTAAGGGTCTGGCTGCTGTGCTAAGCATTAAGGATACAGTGCAGCATTAGACATAATCAGGCCCTGCCCACATACATCTTGCAGCCAAATAACAAACAAAGGAACAGACAAAAGTTACATAAGCAACCAAGTTAGTAGGACTGGTGGTAAGTGCTCCAAAGAAAAAGGGTGAATTGGGACAGGAGGGAAAAGGAGGGGGGATAATCTCACAGAGGGGTTTGGGAAGGCCTCCATGAGGATGTGTGTTTTTATCTGAACTGGGAAGGACAGATCAAGAGTTATCTGGTTCCAGGCGGAAAACCAGTATTAAGATGACTTCAGCCTGGGTGAAAGTTAACCTTTAAAATCAACCGAGTAAAGGCTCTTTTGGCTCTAAGAGCCAGAGTGAAGGACAAAGAGGTGCTCAGCAAGTGGGAGGGGGTGGGGACGGTTACAGAGACCCTGTGGTCCATGGTGAGGGGTGGTGTCACATTCTAAGAGCAGGGGAAAGTGTTTTAAACAGGGGAGAAACATGATCCGATTTTCAACCCAAAGGAGTAAAGACCAACACTTATGATGACAGACGTTTCTTCAAAAGCTTTAACTTTCCCCCTTCGGTTCACACAATTCCACAAGTTCCTACTCCCTGAATCCTGGGCTTTCGGTAACTGTGGAAGGTAGGCTGGGGTAGAAGAGGGGAAATCAAGAAGGAGCCCTTCTGGAAAGAAGAGGAAAAAAAATTACATTTTTCTTGGTATCTAGAATGTGGCAGGCATTGCATGGGGATCCTCATTTGTTATTAGATTTAATCCTGATTCCCAAAAAGAAATAGGATTTTCCCATTTTTGTTCTTATTTTGTTTTAGGGAAAGCAGCTGAACTTCCAGGCCAAGTTCGCCCCTCTGTTCATTCTTCCATTTATTTATTTCATTCATTTATAGGTGCCAACTACATGTCAGCTGGGAGCTGGGATTCCATAGAAGAATGAGTGCTTCTCAGAGTCTACAGGACAAATACGTAAACAAATATGTGAGCACTCGTGACAGCAGGTGATACGTGCTTCAGAAGATGCAGGGACACAGACAATGGAAGCCACTTGAAGGAGCAGGGGCTGGCCTGGGAGAACAAGGGAGGGCTTGTCATAGCTGTGGATGCTTGAGCTGAGACCTGGAAGTACTGTCATAGCAGGGGTATGCCGTTGGCAGAAATGTAGGAGAGGCCATTTCTGCGAGAGAGAGTGACAAGTCTGAAGGGCCAGATGCATGACAGAAAATGTGTTGTGTTTAAGGAGGTTAAAATTTGGAGGATAGAATATAAAGCATATACAAACCTAACCATGTAAGTGAGGACCAAATTGGACAATGAATTGCCCTTATAACGATATGCTAAGGACTCTAGATTGTATTTAACAGATTCTGCAGAGCTACTGAATTGCCCTGCTGCAGCAGGACCTGATGTCCGTATCGGACAGAAAACTGACTGGTCTCACAGGAAAACCAGTAAGAGGCTACTGTAACAAGAAGAGGGTGGCCTGCTATTACAGTGGATGACTGTGATGGGGGTACAATCACAGGAGGATGGATTCAAAGTATTTGTAGTCCCCGGTGATGATAGATAGATGTTAGGGAGTGACAAGAAAAGTCAGGGAAGCATACTTGGCCTCCAGCTTGGGCAACTTGGTAGAAAAGAATCCCATTCACCGAGACTGAAGCACAATGGTAACTGTTTGGGGTGGAAGATGTTGGGTTGGAGACGTCTGGTGGGTTATATAGTTTGACCTATTTGTTTCTAGACTGTTTCTAATCACTAGATTGAAATTTGGCATTATAGATGATCTAGCCCAACAGAAGGAGGCCAAGAGTGGTTAGAAAATTGGCCCCAGACCTACTAGAGGGGTAGAGATAAGAACACACACCGAGTTTACTGGTGTCGTGACTTAGTACCCCTCTTTGTTTGCTTTTTCACTCCATATCTGCATTCTTTGTGAGAAAGGGAAAATTAGAAGGAAAAGCAGAGGAACAGAGAGAATGAACAGAGAAGACAGACTATGTCTAAGGAATGAGAGAGAAGAAACATGGGATGGTGATGGAAGCACCTTGGGCCACCTTGTCTACGTGTTCAGAAATTACAATATTCAAATACGGCCAGATGGACGATCTCTCCCAACCCCTCTCTTAAAACCAGTGCAGGAAGACAGGGAAGGGCCAAGGTCTGGCAAGTAGGAGATCCAGAGAGGGAGATGCTAAAGACACAAATTCCTTCAGCTTCCCCATTTTACCCACGACGCCCCTGCAGGATGCTGGGAGTCTTTGTCCTCCTTTCCCACCCAGCTCTTCCCTACTCTGCAGCTTCTCGTGCCTTGTCCCATAGGATGGTGCTATGAGTGTATTCCCTGACTCTGCTGGTCCAGGCCAAGTGCTCAGGAGCTCTTGGGGCACCAGCTGCAGCAGTCTTGGGTGCTCCCAGAAGACAAAGTGGGGCAGGTAAAGGCACTGGATTAAAGCCACCGCAGCTTTGGGTCTCCATGGTGACATCAATCCGTCCTTGTCATCCTTGCAAGCCACCCTTCCATGGTCTCTTCTCCCCAGCTCTTCTTCCCCAGTCACTTCATCAGAATGAAGAGGAATTCATAGGCCAAAGGAACCACTTATCCTTTTGTTCCTGTGAGGAATGTTGCTTTGAACTATCATTGGCAAGAGCAGCATACACGTGCAAAATCCCTCCTTGCTGGCGGAGCATCACCTATGAAACAACTGTGATGCACCAGGTGTCCCTTAAAGGGGAAAGAGAAAGCAATCATCACCCTACCTGGAGGAACACAGCTCTCAGGCAGGTGAGGAGCTCTCTGCTCTGACTCTACTATGGTCTGGTCCCTCAAGGTCACCTTTGCCTGTAGCATCAGAAGCCCCACACCCTGAGCTTTTGTGTTTTTATTCTTGTCATTGTCATCATCGTTGCTGTTGTGTGTGTTGTGACCCACTCTGTTCTTTCTGTCTTTGAGGAGATCAGAGAGCTAGGGAATGAGCTAAGCCACTGTCTCTGCCACAGTTCTCCAGCTTATCCCTTTGGGTCCATTCATTTTCTCGTAGCACCTTTGGAAAGGGAGCCACACAGGGAAAGGAGGGGTGCTTGGGACACGTCATGACCTAGCAGTATAATATAAGGCAAAAGATTTGCTTGGATGTGGGGTTTTGTGGTCTTTGTTCTTAGAGTCAGAGCCATGGGCATGACACCATCCCCTCCAGGCTAAGACCAGACCCTTCCCTTGGAACCTATGCCTGACACACTCCTAGCCTCGCTGCAGCCAATCCAGGCTTGGGATCTGTTAGGGGAGCCAGCCTTCCTTCCATAACTATCCCCTGAGTCTTTCTGAACAATGACTTTGGTGACTATGAATGCCATACCTCCTGATCTACCTACCTTCTTCTTCCCAGCCCTTGTTGCTCAAGAATCTACACAAATGCTGAGTTGTGACTCTTGAGTCATTACCATGGGTGTTGTGGATGCACTGATTTGACTTAATATGCAAACATGCAAATCTAAGCAAATTATGTGCCTGGATTAGCTAAACAAAAAGTCTCAGTATCCCTATTCTAGCACGGAACTCAACTACACCCTGTCACCACACCCCCACTCCGGCCATTTGGAAAGCCATCTGTTGTTGCTGATGCTTCCCTGAGTCCCAAGCCTCTTACCCTCTGTGTCTGGTTGTTGGTCACCAGTTCATAGATGGGGGCTGCTCTGGTCACCTCCAGTAGAACTGGCTCAGCAGGAGTGTCAGGGCTGGATGTCACATGACACAGGGGGCAGGATGAGGGGCATCGTCCTTTGCTCTGGCATTCCATGCGGACTCCAGCTGCCATGCGCTTGGTGCCAGTCTCTGACAGGCTGGCGATGTATTCTGGGAACGTGAGCACCTTGGGGTCTCTTTCCCGCTCCTCCGACTCGTCAGATGGGGAGTTGCCTGCCAGACACAAAATGAAAAAGAGCAATGAGGCAATGAGGCAAAAGAGCAAGGTCTTGCATGATCTCGTGGCCCCTGAGTGCTGGAGTCAAATCCCAGGAATTTGACTCCAGCACTCAGGAATTGTGCTTCCAGATGTGAGATCAGGTTGTTTCCTTTTGGAGAACCCTCAGCTCCACCGATCCTCTCAGAAGGATGCATCTGCAGTGTCTGCAGGATCTATGACTATCGTCAATAATCCCAACAGTAACAACAGTAACAACAGTGATTACCCCAGGACTCAGTTTCTTCATCCATAAAATGAAGATATTCCTTGTACCTACCTCTAGCATTGTGCGATGAATAAAAGGCAACATGTTTTTAAAGTACATAACACAGTGACTAGTGCATGTCCAACCATCATCATAAGAGTTTAATCATAACTATAGGTAAGATTTACCTGAACTATGAAGTGAGATCTGTCCCGGACCTCTTTTAACACTTACAAGAACTCTCTGCATGGAGTTCTACCATTGCACCCACCTTATGGATGAGGAAAGTGAGGCCAAGAGCCTCAAGATCACACAGCTAGTATGTTGTAAGTGCTGGGGTTTGAATCAAATTTTGTCGGATTCCAAAGCCTTTAAGTCATTGGGAAGGAAGAGGACTTTTCTGCTTTATTATTCATCAATGCACGGAAGATGGGAGGGAGTTTGGGCACTCCAAAGAGATGGATTTATAACGTCCTTGATTGGTGAGTGAAAAGTAGTTAGAGAAATTCTTGGTTTATTTTTGGTGACAAAGATGAGAAATGCCTACCTGAAAATAAGTAATACTTTGTTCCCTGTGGAAGAAAACACGGCTTGATATTTGTCTTCCAAGCCTTCATGATTTCCCATTTAACTTATTCATGCTAGATGAAGTTGGAAGTACAGTCCACTGACCAAAAGCCCTTGGGCTCCGCAAGAGATCCCAGACCCTTCGTGACACAGCTACAGGCCCAAACAGGAAACAATTTCGTGGAGACCACTGGGCTTCTAGAAATAAAGGGCAGATACAGAACACTCGTTCCGGTCATCCTGAACCGCACAGGAATGTGGTACTTGATGGGCCAGATCTTTGGGGGAAATGGCTGGAAGGGTTTGCAAAGGGGTTTCAGAAGGTGACTGAGAGCTACAACTCACTGCCTTTCTAACAGGGTTCTCTCTTGTGGGGTCCAGGGAGTTCTCTGCCCTCCTCCCTTGTGTTTGCCATGTAATATGAGCCCATTTGCAAACATCATGAGACATTTCAACACTGTTGTTTCCCAGATGAATATCCTCAGTGTGCGGATGAGGCATCTTCCATCCAGAAGCTCCACTGACATGGGACTCAGTGACTATAAATGTGAGATATAATTTATTTCACATTTGCAATTTGTTTAATAACAAACCCAGAGTTGAACTGAAGCCTTTCGTAGGTTATAAGAACTGCATAACTGCACACACCAAAGCAAAGAATGGTGTTATCAAACAGGGAGGCCCAGGAGCCCACACCAGCCAGCCCCAGAGTCACTCAGAGCCACATGTAAATCTTGATTGATATTCAGGTTTAGGCACCTCAGTCAAGCCCGTGGCTGGGAATATTTGTAAAGTGAGCACAACCTAGCAGGACTCTCCTCACCTAGCCCCTGGCCAGGCCTCAGCCTTCTTCAACAGCTAATATGAACCAGGTAGAGATAAGTGAAGTGAATGAGGTCTTGGATTCTTGAAATGATTTCTAGAAAAACAGGCCGCCTTTCATTCACTGGGAAAGTGAATGAAATTAAAAAAAAATCAGAAAAGACACAGTGTTTCTTTTCAAGATAAAGTTTAAAAAATTTTGCTATGCAAAAAAAAAAATGCCAGAGAGCTTGACGGTCTCTTGGAGGACCAGGGGCATTTCATCAACCCACAGCCCTCCTTGTTGAGAAAGGATTCAACAGGGGCTGGGAAAGAGTTCCCACGAAATGACCACTAGATGGGGATATCAAGTCTAAAATGCTCTTCTGTGAGAGGAAATAATCTGTGATGAATTCTGTGGGGCCACTTTGGCACCACGGAAAAACTTGTGGAAAAGTAACACCTGGCTACTTAACAAAGTTTGTTGTGGTACCATTTTTTTCAATGAAATAGTTAAAAATTAATGAGTAACATAATTCCATAAAATGTATCCCTAGGAGAAACATACACAGCGAGAGACAGAAGTAACTGAGAGACAGAAAATTAAAATCCTCCTGAATATCCTTCACATGGAGTAAAATTTACTTCAAGGGGGAAATAATCTGCCACCACATTCCTTTTCTCTCACCTTTAATCCCCAAATACCCAGGAACTCCGCCGCCTCCTCCCCCACCACACACCCCATACACATCCCTCTGTAGGCCAGGGGCCCTTTTATTACTTGGGATGCACCGTTCTGACAGACAGATGCGGCCACTAGAGGGCACTGCATCCCCAAACACAGTGGAGCTGAGCCCACCTCCCTGCCCTCCCGCGCTCCCTCATTAAGGCTTGTAATTGCTGTAAACATTTGAGGGGCTGTTCCCTGGCGGCTGTCTTCTGACTATCCCCATTAAAATCAAGATTTAGCGAATCCCGCTCAATATCCTCCAGCCCCGGATAGGTGCAAGGTTAGGGAGAAGAGAGGCGTGGGGAGGAGGATGCAAAAGAAATGGTGGCAGACCTCCAAACTCTTGTTTTAATCCAGAATCCTGTTTTCCTTCTCCTGAAAATATTCAGGTCCTTAGAAAGCGGGCCTGCTGAAGGCCGCTGCAGTCCCCTCATCATGCAGGACGGAGCTGTCTAGAGAGGAGCTGGATTTATACCGAGGTAATGAGCAGGGAACTCCCAAAGCCATCTATTCAGGCTCCAGCAAAGAATAGAGATGTGTCTGTGAGAGAGATTTTTCAAAGAGGAAATGCCTTTTCCATGTGCAGTTTAAGACACAATTGGGAAATACCCCTTAAAATGATGGAGTCCGATGGTGAAAGCTCAGATAAATCTCCCTTTGCCCAAAGAGAGCACCTATAACCATCATGTCTGTGGCAAGTGAAAGAGTAGTCCAAATCCTAAAATCTTCAGGAGAGTCTGATCTTTGACATTTGCTTTTAACTCCCCCTCAGTGTTGGGGTAGGCAGTAGAGAGGTCAATGTGTGGAAAGTCACAGGAGGAGACCCCACCTTATTTCCTTATGGTTCAATGGCTCCCCCCATCCACTGACCACACAGGATTACAGTCCGTAGGTTCTTCTTGCCTCTTCTGCCCTCTAGATCCTGAGTGGAAACGCTCTAGCGCTTTAAGACACTACACTGTCTTTTAATAACATGAATATATGATTTCAACAAATTATAGGGTCTCTGGACATAAGAAAGAAGCTAGAGCTAAAGTCTTAAAAGATTATAATAGGCAAAGGTGCCTTCTGATCCAGAACACCCAGGTGTGGCCCCCTCTGATTCCTATTTGCAGAATTCATCTAATTGCTCTCAGGGAGGCTTTGGAGTCCAGCCATGACACTTAGCTTTCTTATAAGTAGAAGAACAGCCAACCTGGAATGTAGTTAACAACCCCAAAACTGCAAAGCATTTTGCAAATACAGTTTGCTATAAATAAATGCCATTTGCTTTAGGCTAAATCTGTATCCTACAGCACACAGTGGATGAATTTCCCCAATAGAATATTGTGGAATGAGAATATTGGCATCCTCAACGTTCAGAATCTCATTGTGGATGTGCCCATGGCCTTAGGCATGTACATCCTGACCCACCTAGACTCAGGAACAATACGAGGATGATAAAAGTGACTGACCCATCCTCACACAGGGTCTGCTTTGCTGGTAGGAACCGACAGGTCATGGAGGTGGATGAGTCGTTATGAAGGAAATTGGTACGATTCCTGTAGGATTCTGGGACTGCTTAAGACTCTCTCTCCTGAGTTGGTGCCCAAAGCAATGAGATGTTAATGACATCACAGCTAGAACTACAGAGGTAGTTCATTAGGCGGCAAAGAAATCAAATGCAAACTAATTAGATCCCAGCTCTCGGAGATAGCTTAGGATCTGCGAGAAAGAAAGCTTGACATGGGGCAAATGAAGCACAGCCATGGCTAACTGTGCCCTGGAGCCCACCGACACCCTGCCCTCCATCGCCTCCCCAGCCTACTCCTGTTCACATAGGGTGTCCTGGAGTTATCTGAATTCACATTTCCATCTATGCACTCCGGCTCGGATCGGTCTCTTAGGATGTTCGGTCATGTCCTTGGACAGAGAGGTTTAAGTCACCCTGGATGACTTGAACTTAACTCCTAGACTTGCCATAAGACAGTCTCTGAGACCTGAATAAAGTACAATGTGATGGATTAATAATCAGGTGAAAGAGGAGACGGCATAAGCTGGCCACTTCTCTCTACTCCTCTGTATGAGACAATGAGTGCTTGGGGCCAGTAACTGTGCCTTTAGCTTGGAAACTCCTTTACCTAGTTCAAGTGTATCCATAGCCATCATCTCTCTACCTGTCTTTCTCTCTCTGTATGTGTGTGTGTGTGTGTGTATATATATATATATATATATATATATATATATATATGTTTCTCTCTCTGTATGTGTGTGTATATATATACGAAGGGTAAAGGGGGTGAATATAATAACTCATGATCATAGATTTAAAATTTAAACACAAGTCAAACAAATACAACCAAGGCATTTGTAAACAGTTAGCCCCTTGCTAAAGCTTTAAACAATCAAGCGGCAAGAACGAAGCATTATTCCAACAACAGCCAACTCTCTTGTCTCTCGCCAGGACCTCTCCCATGAGTATAGCAGAGCCTCATTAGTAGCTTGCTTGGAAATCCACCTGAATGTCCAAGGGGCACCTCAAACTCAACGTGTCCCCAACTGCTGTGGTCATTCCACACTGTCCCCAGCAACCTGCTCCTCGCTCGAAGGTGTTAGCTCAGCAAACCGCGCTGGCTTCCTCGTTGCTCAACATGGAAGTCTCGGCTTCCTTG